CAAATAACTGAAAAAAGAGAGCCATTATGCAAGTACATGGCTATTCAAGGTCATTCTACAATAGGGGGTTGTGATAGGCTGAATAATGTCCCCCTCAACCTCCTCAAATAGCCAAGTTCTGGAATATTCATGGAACCTGTGAATGTTACCTTGTAAGACAGAAAAGAGCTTTGAATATGTGAATAAGAATCTTGAGATGGGAGATTTTCTGGGTGGGCCTTAAATGCAATCACAAGGGGAAGAGAAAGAAGGCAGTATACCCACAGAGGCAGAGATTGGAGTGATGCAGCCATGAACCAACAAATGCTGGTAGCCACCAGCAGCTGGAAGAGATAAGGAATAGATTCTCCCCTAGAGCCTCCAGAAGGTTCTGGCTTAGTCCTCCAGAATTGTGGAAAAAAAAAAATTTCAGTTGTTTTAAGTTGCTAAATTTGTGGTTATTTGTTACAGCAGTCATAGGAAAACTAATACAGATTTTGCTACCTGGAATTGGGGAGCTGTTTTAACAAATGCCTAAAAATGTGAAAATGGCTTTAGAACTGGTTAATAAACAAAAACTGGAATAATTTTGAAGCACTTGATATAAAAAGTCTAGATTGCCTAGAACAGACTGTTGGTAGAAATATGAATGTTAAAGACTACCAATGAGGACTAAGGAAGAAGTGAGGAGCACAATAGAAAAAGCCTATATTGACTTACAGAATATGTAATATGTCATGAACAGAATGTTGGTAGAAATATTAAAGGTGCTACTAGTTAAGGCTGAGAAGAAAATGAGGATATGTCACTGGAAATTGAAAGAATGGTGATCTTATTATATAGTGACAGAAAGCTTAGCAGAATTTTGTCATTCAGTTGTACAGAAAGCAATTCTTCTAAGTGATTCACTTAAATATTTACAGAGGAAGTTTCCTAGCAAAGTGTTGAAAGTGCAGCCTGGTTCCTTCTTGCTGCTTATAGTAAAATGTGAGAAGAAAGAGATGAATTGAGGGGACAGTTGTTAAATAAAAAGGAATTCAGACTTGATGATTTGGGAAATTCTCAGCCTATCCTGACTGCAAATGATGCTGAAATTAGGCCACTCACTCTTAGGAAAGTTTGCTGTGGAGAGAAGGCCAGACTATGGCTGGAAAACCTTTTGCTAGTGTTAAAGAAATTTGATGTATGACTTATGGTTCTATTTAACCATCTCAGCAGAAGGCAGGAATAGAGATGGGTTTATCTAGGAAAGATCTTTTGAGGGTCCTCCATCTAATGGTATGAATCCTGTGACATACATAGGAGACCCACGTTTTTGATAATGTTATATCTGCAGAAATACTGCCAGCTTGTATTTAAAGGGATAGAGATGGATAAAATGGAAGAAGGCTTTTGGATTCCCACAATTTCACAGAAACAGCTCAATAAAACTACTTAACTGCAAATGTGTTCTACTTTTTAGGAAAAATGAGAATGACTCTGACAGGGGAGCCTTGGGCCCAGAGGTTGGAGCCATGAACTACAGAAGATTATTCTCAGGCTTTGGAATCTAACAGAACTTGCTCTGCCGGATTTTAAAATTGCTTGGGACTATTGACATCTTCCTCTCTTCTTCCCTCCATTCCATTTTATCCTTTTTTGAATGGGAATGTCTGTAACCATTATTAATGTCTGTTGTATTTTGAAAGCAGATAACAGATCCACAAATGGAGAGGAATTTTGCCCCTGTATTGATCATAATCAGAGTCTCCGTCATATCTGTTTTAGTTGATTAGATTTGGGGCTTTTGAGCTGATGAGATGTATATAAGGTTTTAGACTTTGAGTTGATGCTGTAATTAGTTGAGACTTTAGAGGATGTTGGGATATGGTGAATATATTTTGCATGTGGAAAGGACATGAAATTTTGGGGCCAGATGCTGGACTGTGGTAAGCTGAATAATACCCCCCCCCAACCAAAAGAAAATCCATATCCTCATTTGTGAAATCAATGAATTATTACTTTTATGGAAAAAAATAGACTTTGAAGTGAATAATTGTTAAGCATCTCAAGATAGGAAATTATTCCTTATTATCTAAGTGGGCCCTAAATACAATCATAAATATCCTTATAAAAATGAGGCAGAGGGAGATAAGACAGAAGAGGGAGAAGGCAGAGTGCCTGTGGAGTCAGAGAATGGAGTGATGTATCTGTAAGCCAGTGTCTGGCAGCAGCTACCAGAAACTGGAGGAAGGAAGGAGCATATCCTCCCCTACAGCCTGTGGAAGGGTTGCAGCCTGGCTGACACCTTGATTTTGGCCCACTGATACTTATTTTGGACTTCTTGCCTCCAGAACTGTGAAAGGATAAATTTCTGTTGTCTTTAGGGCCTGACTAAAAATACAGAAATGGAGAGGAATCTAATTGTGTCCCTTATCTGCATACTCTTGTATTCTTTGAATATGAGACATCTTTATGATTACTGTTAGACTTCTGTACCCACCAGGATTTTATATTAGAAAATTTTACCACTATATTTTACAACAGTACCCATCTATTTTAAGCAGAGTGGCATTATATAAACTGGAAACTCGTAAATAAACAGAAAGCTTGGCTTTTGCTCTCAGATATACTCCTTACTGGTCGGTATCTTTGAGTAAATTACTTAACCAATCTGAGTTTCAGTTGAACGGTGGCATTAATTTGAACTGTCCTTTCTAAACCACATAATTATTATAAGTATTTAATGATATAAATATATATGAAAAATACCAGGTAATGTAAATGTAAGATTCTTTCATGCTCAATTATTAACCATGCTTTCTCTAGAGATATCAAAGTTATGATGAGCAATTTTGCACATAAGTCACTGGCCACATTAAACATTTTTCCTTCTTAAATTAGAAGCTAAAAGTGAAATTGTGGGTTTGAAATTTTTAACACTTTAAAGCTCTTGATTTATATCGATAATCTCTCCAGAAAGCCTGTACCACTTTACTTTCTCACTGGAAGCACACAAATGCTCATTTTGCTGCACAGATACCTTAGAGAGTTCTTAAAAAGTATTTTAAATGTTGTACCAACTTGATGAAAATTATCATTTATATTTTTTGATAAGGTTTACCATTTTTATTTCTTGACCATTTGTATTGTTCTTTAATGAATTGCATGTGTTTTTGACTATATCTCCAAACAATTATTTGTACTTTTTCTTACTGATTTTTTTTGAGACCTGGTATTCTTAAGTTAATTAACCTTTTTTTGTGTGTTGTTTCTTTACCAGTTTGTTGTATTGTTGTTTACTTTTTACTTTAGTTAATGATGCCTTTTTATGACTTTTATGCTTAACATTTATGCATAATCAAATTTAGTGAACTTTTATTGTTTTCTTCCCTCCCTTCCTCCTTCTCTTCATCCTTTCCTTCTTCCCTCTCTCCTCTCATCTTTTCCTCTGGAAAGCTTTTCCCATTTGGCTGCTTTTAGTGGTCGTTTTAGGTATGTAGCTTTCCCCTTAATTGGCAGTAAAGCATACTTGAGATCCAGGTTCTTGTCAAATAACATCATATCAAGTTATCCCTTGCCAAACTTTGTAAAAATTTTGAATGGAAAATAATATTCAGAGATGATTACCTGAAGGATATACTAAATTTATTTCTGGGGGAGAGTCTGAATGCAGCATAAAGACTTTTGTTTCCAGCCTGATGATTTCATCTTCTTGAATTTATAATCCTGTATCAGTTTATCTTACATATATGCAGAAATTGAAGCATAGTTTTTGAAATATGGTTTTTGCCTTACCATATCACCATTAGCTCCTTTCTCTATATCATCCTCTCTATCCCTATTATTAAGAATAATCTGTCATTAGTCAAATAAATGCTAACTCAGCCTAACATGCCTAACATCTTACATGCATTATCTCGATTTATTTCCACAACAGCCATACAAGATAGGAAATATTATTATTCAAATTTTGCTAATGAAAAAAATGGATTCTCTGAGAGGTAAACTGTCTTGCCTAATATCGCATAGATTATATGTGGAGGAATGAGATGTAAATTCAAGCCCAGAGCTTTCTGATTTCAGAGCCCATTTCTTAGCTGGTGTTCATTCCATATGGACACACACATACATAGGTACCTTCCTGCTTCCCAAACCTGATTCCCTTAAATGCTGATGTGACTTGATATTTCTGTTCTCTCCCATCATTGATACAGTAAGGGAGGCAAAAATTGAATGAAGCAGCATAGTAACATCCAAAATATTGAACTAAATAAATAGGATATTGAACTGAAAACATCTTGGGGAAGAATTAGAACTTCTCTTATTCTTCAAATGCTCTAGTGGTGTTTTGTCCTTGTTCCTCTCAGTTCAAGAGTCTTGTGTATAATGTGCTCTGACCAATGGAGGACACTGTGAAAATATCAAAGCAACTAAAGGCTACAGACACATGGGTTGATCTTGGTTTGCCAATTATAATAAATGTCTATTTTATAGTCTGTGATTCATGGCAGCTTGCCGTGGTAGGTGTGTATTGAGCCTGGGATAAGTTCTCAAAAATCTGATAGTCTTTTACTAGTATTTGGATGATTAATTGTTATGCCTTCTGTTACATTTTAGACAGTGAGAATTAGGTCAATGGGAATGGTTCTCATTTCTTTCTTTGAAAAACTTGATAGCATTCAATTTCCTAGTGTTATTTTGTTCTTATACTCTATAAATAGTCAGAGCCCTAAAAGTCTGCAAAAGAAGTAGGGAAATGTGCTATAACCTTTTTGGGTGGGTGAGACTCAGTGGACACAACTTGAGAGCATTGACTGTCCTGTCCTTCATCAGATCCTCAGTGTCTACTCACTGCCTGGCATGAATGCATTTTTGATCGACATGTTGCTTCGTGTGGATTGAGTGAGGGAAGAATGAGAGTCAACTGAGGAGTAAAGTTTAGAATCAGGCTTGTGGGCAGGTTTGGGGGTGATCTAGAAAGCACAGCTGCCCCTTTAAAATTGACTCTAACAAAGGCTTGTTTTTGTAATTGTTTGCAGAAAGATTACCACTTTGAATATACAGAATGTGATAGCAGTGGCTCCAGGTGGAGAGTTGCCATTCCGAATTCTGCAGTGGACTGCTCTGGCCTGCCTGACCCAGTGAGAGGCAAAGAATGCAGTATGTTTTGCCTTTTTTGACCATTCGTTTTCCTGATTAATCCATATCTTCTTTATACCAGTCCCTGAGGTTAATTATAATGAATATGAGACCTTTGAAAAAATGAACACGTAGCATCAATATCTAGCAGAGCAAGAGCACTCTTTTTCAACAGTCTGGGCCCCAGTGTCTGAAATCTGTAATGAGGCACAGGCAATATTAAAGAATGTTATTTTTATTTATTAAAAAAAACCTGGTGTACTGTTTTTTTCTATTTGTTTATTAAAGTATAATTGACATGCGATGCTATGTTAGTTTCAGGTGTACAATACAGTGATTCTACATTTATATACTTTGCAGTGTGGCTTATGTGTTTTATAACTGGAAGTTTGTGCCTCTTATTCCCCTTCACCTTTTTCACCCATCCCTGTTTCTCTGGCAACTATCAGTTTGTTCTCTGTATCTCTGAGTCTTTCTGTTTTGTTTATTTTTTTATTTTTAATTTTTTTTTAGATTCTACACATAAGTGAAATCATATGGTATTTGTCTTTCTCTGTTTGACTTATTTGTTGGCAAGGGTGTGGAGAAATGGTGTATTATTTACTTGAAGTTCTGGAGAACTGAGTGGCAGAATTTTTCTTTAATATATTTCCTTTTTTAACTTAAATTTCTAAAAAGTTTTAAAATTTTTGATAAAATGTGGATAACATAAAATTGACCATTTTAATAATTTTTAAGTATAGAGTTCAGTGACACTAAGTACATTTGCCAACATCCATCCAAAGAACTCTTTCATCTAGCAGTGAATTTCTATTTTAGCCATAGATATAATGTAATTTGCCTTTTTAGTATAACCTACAGAGAGATTGTAGAATTGATAATTATCGTATTCAACAGCTTATCTTTTAGCAGTTAAGCAGGCTTGAAGTGCAACATTATGAATTAACAGAGAAATATGTCATTATATTTATTTTTACTTATAAACCCTACTTTAAAAATAGCATTCAGTTAAAGAATTTGGTGAGTTACGGGTTCCTGCAGTGAAGTAGTCTAGGAGTAGACTATAGTTCAAAACTGGAAGTAAGACAAAGAGGTTATTTTGGTTTTTCTACAGCTTTCCAAATGGTATTCCTAAAAGCTTACTGCTTTCGCATCCAAATGAAAGAGCAGGTAAGCAAATTATTAAATGATAGTTAATTCTTTCTTGTTCATAGAGAGAATGTGTCTTTGGCTGGAGGAGTTACAGCATAGGTGATGGTTTACTGTTAAAAGGAAGATAGGAAGACAGCAATCATCTTATGAGGAAAATTAGGGAAGGAAACCATTATTTCTTGGTGAATGATATTAAATCAATACAGAGAGAACCTGAGAATGCCTAACCAGGTGAAGAGGTCAGTCTGAGAAGAATCCTAAGAGGATAGTTGGGTCAGTATAAAAGATGATACAAGGCTGGAGTGTATGCAACCACCTGTGCAGAGAGAGGATCAGTTCTGTGAGGAAAGATTGTCCTGTGAAGAAGGACTGGTTTTAGCTCATTGTAAAATTGCTTCAGTCACCTTCCTAGCAAATCTATATATCATTTATCTATATTTACTCTTTGTTTGTGAGCTAATTCCTTGGTTCCCTTGTAAACAACCTTATTGAAGTAAATTACCTATTATGAATACTACTCCATATCTAGGTGATGTATTGGTGCTGGCTAGCATTGGCTTTTGAGAGCTGATTTGTTAGTTTGAAATGGGTCGTGGTGGAGTATTTTACAGCATTGAAATTGGCGAACACTACAAATCAGGGACCTCCATTCCCTTGGGAACTGGTTATTAAACATGTACCAGCACACCATTGATTAAATTTATTGGCGAAGCATTAAAAAATCTGTTACAGAATTGATACTCGAATAGAAATTATTTGTGTTTGAATGTTGCCAGGCACAGCCTTTGCTCATTATTTACTATAATCTTATACAGATAATGTTATGAATCTGACACTTCAGCAAGAAATTTTTCTAAAAACTCTGACTAATAATGAAGTCACTATTAGTTACTGCTTACTTTAAAAATGATACAGCTTATTTTAAAAATGATACCCTAAAAATGACAATAGTCATATGATAGCTGTGGCATTTTTTATCTTGGCATTTTGTCTGAAATCTGAATTTGCAAGTATTTTTGCATATATACTATATCTGCTCAGGGAGCCATGGCCTCTGCTATGCATAAAGCAAGTTATTTTAAAACTCACAAGAAACTTAATAGATAAAAACTTAGAAGCTCAGTTAATTCATAACATTAAACATGATGCTTACCACATTACTAGTCATTAAAGTACTGCTTGAAGGCAGTTATGGTGATAACTGAACATTTCTTCAGTGGGTTGGATTTCTATTGGTAATAATAGCTACCATTTCTCATGTACTGATTATGTGCTAAACATTGTGCCTAGAGCTTTACATCATTATCCTATTGTATCCTCACAACAATCCTCTCCGATAGCTACTATCAATATTTCCAGCTGATCGATGAGAAAACTCAGAGTTAAAGTGAAGTAAGTTACCACAGGTCATACAGTCAGGATGTGACAGATCTGGGATTTAAATACAGACATGTCTCTTACCCACTGAGTTAGATCATCAATTGAAGATGACAGCCTAGAATTGCTTTTAGGGTTTCATGAAGGGGATGCAAAGATCTGTAGGTGAACATCTTCAAGGGAAGATATTATAAACTCTTGTGCTTCAAGGATGAAAGAGAATAAGAGTATTATTGTTCAGGAATGACTTGCTACTTGCAAACTGTGCCTGGGTGATGCCCCCAGACTCTGAACTCAGCAGTTATGCCGTGATGATATGGCCTAGTAGTTGGGCCATATAAAAGAAAATAAAAAAGTGAAATGTGGCAACTTCAGATAAGTAAAAAAAGACAGTGCTCGTGTGGAACATAATTTCCCTAGATCCTAAAGTCTCTCAGTGAAGTCAAACCCAGAATCGGGAGTCTGTTGAAATTGCTATAGATTCCTCAAAATGTAATTGGGTAGATCTTTACCTCTTTCTCAAAAAGATCCAGTAGAGAGGACTTTTCCTTAGGCAAAGGATTATAGGAATGTTCATGTAGGAGTTGTAAATTTTTTTCAGAAAATTGATAGACAAGCTGTATTATATCTTTATTTTTAAAAATCTGGCTGCAAGGCTGAATGAAATTAATAAGTCAGGTATCAGTTTTTGTTGTGCTAGAATCCTGGTTTGTGTGTGTGAGCTTGAAGCTTACACAGCTCAGGAAATGGGATGGAGAGACCTCTGGTTATTGACTGACACTGGTCTCCATTCTCCTCTTGTCCCCTCTGCTGTGCAGAGCTCCTCAGTCTCATAGGCAGTGCTACTCTGAGCAGGCCACTGAGATGACTTCATATCTCTCCTTCTTTACTGCCAGCTCCAGGCTTAGTTACAGGGAACTTTGTTGCTTATTCCATGCCCTTTTGTTAAGAGCCTTATGTCTGTGGGCATTTCTCACCATTTGAAATGTTGGCATCACTCAGGCAAAACTTGCAGGTGGCATGCCATTCCTGAACCACAACACTCCTTATCTTTTTCCAGAACAAAGATATATGCCCCCTGTCACAATTCCATCCCTTCTCCACTGTTGAGTCACTTCTTAAGTCTTTCCTTGACCCTCTTTGGTCCCCTTGGTGTTCTTAGATGATCAAAAACAATAATCATTTTGGAATTCTTCCCCCTTCCCCCATCTCTTTCTCGCCACACACTGGAGAAAGGGACTTTATTTTAAACCAAACTTCAGAAATAAAAGCCTGGCTGGAAGGAGTTGGGAGAGAATTCCTCTACCTATTTCCTTACATATTTTCAGACAAATCTAGAATACTGAGGAGGAAATAAACATAAGATATCTCTTCCTTTTGGGTGTGTATATCTTCTGCTTACTCATTCAATATTTATCTGTCCATGACTTTAAGTATAGCCTTAGTACATTATTTTCTAATTAGGGGCGACTGTGTAAGATACCTGTAAGTCCACGTTAGCATCAAATCAGTCATAGTCTTGTGGACCTTTAATCTCATACTTCATATTTATATAAACTTCTAATATTTGGTTTTCTTAGGTCAAAAAATACTATGTTCAGATTAGAAAAAGACCTCGAATATAATTTTTTTCTATTTACATCATTTCTCTCAGCTCTATCACTATAACCCACATTCAATGGGCCTTAAGAAGTAAGCAGGGTAAATGAGCAACAGAAAGTTTGCTCATTTCAGTTTGGAATTGAAAGAAGAAGAAGAATTCTCATGGAAAGAGAGTTGGTTTTAGCTTTCTAGGTGGGATATTTAAAAATCCATTTATTGACCTCATAGCTCTTTCAAATGTAGGCTTTTCCCCAGGATTCAGTACATAGTTTCTCTGATTTGTGTTAGGAGTTGTTATTGGTGCAGTAACAGGTGCAGTTGGGCAACTTGAGTTCATTGGCACTGAATGGCTATCAAATGTCATGCTCTAAGTCTGTTCTATGGAATACTCATCCCAAACAAAAAGTGTGTCAGAGTCTTCTGTGGTGAATAAATTTGGAAAATGGTGAATGCTGTATCTCTTTCATGGAAAGATGCAGTGTACATTTTCAAATTAAAACCTCTGAGAAACTTAATAAACATTTATAGAACATTTACTGTGTGTTAACTGCATTCTATTTTACCCAGGGTTTCCCAAGTGTGTTTGATTATTGGACTCTTTCATCCAATGTGTAGTTGGACCCCTTAGGCAGATATTGTTTTTAGAACACACAGATTTAAACACACATGCCTGGCTAATTTAGTAACATTTTATATGTTGTTACTCATACTATGATTTAAATATTTTCATATAATTTTTTTGCTTTACAAGGTTCGGTTGCAGATTACTGAATTGGTGTCCAGTTGAAGATCTCTCATGGTTGGTGATCAGGTGTGCTATGCACCTTGGTTTAAATCCCAGATCTACAACTGACTTGTATGTCTTGGGAAAATTATTTAGTCCACAGTTA